GCATTATACAACGATTACAAGCATTATTTTTATTTATTTTTTTTTTATTTATAATGATTAACGCCAATCGGCTTTTATACAAAGTAATTACATACAAAATAATAACAAATTTAAATAACAATATTAAAATAGTAAGACAATACAACAGTATTAAAAATAGTAAGACAGCAAAAACCAATAATATGGTGAAACAAAAATAAAGGGCCCAGGCACGAAATTGTCACAAATTATATAAATTGTATACACGCATCAGTCTAGGGAGGGGTGCATTGGCAGCATAGTTGGACCGATCTGTTTGTTGGTAGAACGTGCCCTAATAATCGAGGTGCATCAATTTTCCCATTTAATAGCCAAGAAATAAATCGGTTACTATGTGTCTGACGTCTAACTGATAGTGACTCGAGACATAAAATATCATTTATTGGTTGATAGCCATGGGGTGGATGAGAAATGTTTAGGCAGTACCCAGCATTATTCAAAAACCTGTTCTGCACTCTATCAAGTCTAAGTATATCACCAACGGTATACGGATACCAGACAATAGAACCATACTCTAGTACCGAGCGTACTAGCGCACAATAGAGCACTGAGAGACATTTTGGAGAATTGAAACTCGCAGAATGTCGTCTAATAAAACCAAGTATGCGCACAGCTTTGCCTACTATGTGATCAATGTGAGGACGAAAATCTAAAGATGGGACAAAAAGGAAACCTAAGGTAATAATTTTGTCAACACGATCCAGGTGTAGACCATTGAGAGAATAGTCAAACATTATAATATTTCTAGTACGATAGAATGACATAACTTTGCATTTGGTAATATTTAGGGAGAGCTCAACAATGTCGCACCAGATTGTTAGTTTTACCAGAATTCTTTGAAGTATTTGACAGTCTTCCGTGGACGACACTGTGTGGAATATCTTAGCATCATCTGCAAATAACAGGACCCTCGCTGGAGAAATGACCGAGCAAAAGGAGTTAATAAATATATTAAATAGCAGGGGGCCTAGATGACTACCTTGGGGAACACCTGATAAAACTTTAAATGATTTAGATTTCATACCAAATAATTTAACAAATTGAACTCGATCAGACAGATAAGATCTCAACCAGGTTAGGAGTTGGTCACCAATTCCTAACCGATCCAAGACATAGTGTATTATGATCAATCGAGTCGAAAGTTTTTGAGAAGTCTGTGTAAAGAACGTCAACTTGCCACCTAGCTGAAAAAGCATCATGTACAAAAGATAAAAAATCAATTGCACTAGTAGATGTTGACCGACCAGGAAAAAATCCGTGATGGTCAACCGAGATGGTTGACAAGAGTGGACGCTGGATACGCTTTAGAACAATCGATTCAAACATTTTCCCTAAGAATGGTAGACCAGAAATAGGCCGATAGTTAGTGACATCAGTGGGGTCCCCCGATTTTAGAATAGGTGTAACACGGCTACATTTCCAAACGGAGGGGAAGATTCCTTCTGCTAGGGATTTGTTAAATATCGCACAGATCGGCAAAGTGAGATGGTTTCTACAACGATACGAAAAGATGGCTGAAATACCATCAGGTCCGGAACCCCGAGTAGTAGCAAGTGATTCAAGAGCAGCAGACACCTTGTCAGGGGTAATTGTTATTGAGGATGGGAGAAACGAAAATTGCTCTGTAGTTATCAAGTTCAACTGAGAATCAGATATCACCCTAGGTTTAACATAAACCGAGGAAAAATAAGAAGCGAACAGATCTGAAACTTGATCACCGGAGGCACTTATGCTATCGAGATGAACTTTCTCCGGAATATTCTGACTACCTTGAGCCTTACGGGCATATTCCCAAAACGAGCGTGGATTGTTACACAACTGCTCTTGCATTTTACACGTATAGGCTCTGTACAGATTTTTTGAATCAAATTTACATTGAGCACGTAAAAGAGAGAAACAACGGTAATTATTAAATCCACCAAATGTTTTAAAAATTTTATGGGCCTGTTTCTTTTTGACCAAAAGATCCTTGAGGCTCTTAGTTACCCAGGGTGGAAAGGATGAGTTACGAAAAGTGAGCAAAGGTACACAGTGATCAATGACATGCAGAAGTGAGTTCTGTAAAAACTTAGCTGACTGCTCAGTCGTTAACGACGATAAATGATGAGCCCAGTTAATATTTCGTAAATCATCGTTTGCCTTAACGTAGTTACCATGTTTGAAATCGTGAAAAGAATGACTATTATTAAGGACAGGGATATCTAAGGGACATGTGCAGGATATAGTAAGCGCTGGATGATACATATCACAAGGTAAGAGAGGCTCAGATGATTCCTCAACTTTGACAAATTTGTTATTTGTAAAAACTAAGTCAACGAAAGAGTTAGATATATTAGGGACATTATTTTTTTGTTCAAAGTGAAGGGCTCCGTATTGATCACCGATCTGACGAACTTTATCAGTAACAGAACCATCATATTCAAGGCCAGAGTCCCTATTAGACCATCTAATATTGGGTAAATTAAAATCACCACATACAATACCAAAATCAAATTGATAGGATTCCCATACATGATCCATTGCGTCGCTATGGTTCTCATATCTAGACACATCAGAACAAGGAGGCAAATAAATGCCTGCTAGAGTGCAGAAGCACCACCAGAGAGGGAAATGCGTACAAACACTTGTTCAACATTAAGAACCGGAGAATAAACTATAGTAGGTCTGAACTTAGCATGTACAGCAATTAATGTACCACCCCCACGTAAACTAGAACTAGTATTAATATTCCTATCGCATCTAAAAGTTACATACCCATCAAGCCCCAGCTCAGCATCAGATATTTCTTTGGAAAGCCAGGTTTCGGTTAATATATATACATCGTGTGTGGATAGAACAAAGTTAGTATGAAGGTTAGACAATTTCGTACGTAGGCCACGTACATTTTGGTAAAAAATAGACAAAATATTATTTGAAAATTGCGGCACAGGTTCACGGTTAAAAAGGTGTTGCCCTGAGGTAACCCTATATTTTAAATTATTAAGATCGGATAGGACCGAATTGAAGGTTGATTTAGCATTACGGCAAAAAATACATTTAACATTAAGAAAATTATGATTAAGCATGCAATAAGAAGAAGAAAGTTGACTTAGGGTTGAGGTTGATGATTGGATCCGCTTCCAGGGACCCGGTTTTTTGAATTATCTTGTATAATTTTTGGCACACCATTGACATATCGTATCCGTAGACCAACCTCAACAGATTCAGCCCTGCGATCAAGTTCGGAATGACAAGACCGAAGTAAACCACGTTCATAGACAGTATTATCCCTGACAATCCGGAAATTAGTTGGAAACATAGCTACACCGAGTTTAGCATCAGTGAAGTCGCGTATGAAGTTGATTGGTTCATCTTTGAATTGAAAGATAATTTTCAAAGGGCGAATATGATCTTGACGCACTTTTCCAAGACGGACAAGCTTCATGGTGGATTTAGGAATGATACTGCTATACTGTCCAAGAGTATTTTCCAAAGCTATTTTATCGGTTAACATTATCTATTAAGAACTATATTATGATAACCAGATAACATTTAAATCAAACATACAAGGTGTATTGATAAGGTGTCGTCATTCTGGACCCCTATACGTATACACTCTTGATTGAAAATATTACCACAGTTCTATAGTCACCAGAGCGCGCTTCCTGTCCTACGAAGGCCTGTATATTAATTATGTTAAATGCAAAATGTCTTAAAACTTCAGAATTAAAATTCTAATATTATTTTAAAATTGAAGTCAGTATTTACAAAAACATTGAATCATAAAAAGTTTTTTTTTTAATTGAGTTGACATAATAAATTTGGAGCCTGTAATTATACATTACATTTGTATTTTATTCATTGGCAATATTTTTATCGAGTAGACATCAATTAGAAAATATGTGATGTATAATTTAGTCACTTCTTTGGATATTTGCATCCTTCTTAAAATCTTTAAATTAAATTAAAACTATTATGATTCTACTCCTAATTCTAATAGTAGTCTGGTAGAGTGGAGTATTATTTTCTAGTGCTTATAAAAAACTCTAAAAACATGTTTAAAATATTTTGCATATTTTATTTTATGATTAGCTATATTATTTATATTATAATATTATTCAATAATAGTTATCTTATAAACTTCAAACTAACTTTGAAAAATTGTTTAGTTTTTTTGTTGTTTACTTGTTTTTAAAACCTTGCTAATTTTTTTCTTTTGTAAGTGAATATCATTCTTGTTTTGGCATAATGCATAATGATATATTTGGTTAATATTTGACTGTGTATTGAGCAACCAACCTTTGTCAAAAAATGTGTTTATATATTTCTTCAATAAATATAAATTATGTTAGAAAAATAAACAGTGAAAAATGTATATGTAGTTTTCAAATTGAAATGCAACATTAAAAACACGATCTTTTACCTTGACAGCTAGTTATATTTAGATATTTTACACTATAATCTAGTACAGTACTCCTCAATTTTTTTAGTCATGAGGCTCATGAGGTATATACTAAAATTACATGTACTATTTCACACAGATAAATTATTAAAATGTATAGTATCTTAATATACTTTTAACAACAGTGTACGATT